CCAGAACCTAGCAACTGATCTCTGACCCAACTCAGATGGCTCAATGGGGGGAAAGACTGGATTGTAAAATTCAATATCTCCAAAACCAAACTAGTAATGTTCCACCACTACTGCGCAGACTGTAAACTTTCATCCATCATGATAGATGGCTGTTCACTTGAGTTGCCTTGACTGTATATTGGGACTCAAGCTCTCCCCATATTATTGATTTGTTGTATCACTCCAGTAAGGATCTGCCCCTCCCCCTCCTATACTGTTTTTAAAAGTGCCAGATCAGACCAAAAATGGAGTATTGCTGCCATATCTGTGATAGATCTACCCAGTCCTCACTTGCTTGTCTTGATGAAGTTCAAAAGTGTTTACGCTGACTTGTGGGTGATGAATTATTTTTCACCCTACAAATCCTTTCACAAAGATGAAATGTTGTGAGCCTCTCGCTGCTCTATTGCTATTTTCACGGCATGTATTCTGACAAGCTACATTCCTTAGTTCCACGACCCCTGACCTTTACAACTGAGACCTACATACACAAGTGTGAAGAAGTTTCATTCAAGAACTGCCGCTTTGTTAAACAGACTCCCAGCAGGATGACTTGTGGGGTTGGTGTGTTAGTAAAATAACCTAAAATCTAAATCTAAATCCCAGCAGGATACTTTCCCAATCACTATAATCTTGACCTCTTCAAGTTTATTGCTAATGGTTATCTTTCCTGTATAAACCCATGAACTTCACTTCTTGCATTTTTTACGCTCATGTGACACCACACAGTACCCCTCTACCTTGAATGGCTCTTGGATGTTGTATTGGGTGAACATTAGTATATTAAAAAAAATTAATTTTTGAAGATCAAATTTGACTGCAAAGTAAGAAATAGGAAGAGTGTTCTACAAGAAAAATGCAAGGGAAGAAAATGTTAGCATAGAACTTGCTAGTGATTTCAACTGTAAAATTATGAAACAGCTGCAAATTTAGTACTACACTAAAATTTGTAAAATCAAAGTATCAAAGCAGAAAGCTCATCAGAACAGTTATCATGAAAATATTTATAGAAAAAGCTCAGGGAAGCTACATTACAGTGTTGGGAAAGTGACTGAAGCAGAGATACCAGTTCAGTACTGATAACATTCCAGATTCTTTTTTGGATTTTATCAAAAATCTCTAAATACATAGAGGCACCAGATCAGATGTGGCAGCAGTATTAAACACACACAGACAAATCATAAACTTATAAAAGTGTAAGAATACTCATTTCCTTTCAAGAGTTTACTGTACAACCACATTGTCCACTGTCAAATATAGAATTCTCAGTTTTGAGGCAAATTGATATTTGGTTGTCCCACCTTGTGAATTAGCCAACAATATATTGGTTTTTAAGATTCCTGTGCTTCTATGAGGCATTGTAAAGTAGACATGGGTTTAATCTATATTAAATCTTCAATAAATCTCAAATGTGGATAATATTAACTTATGCCACTGTACATGTAGGGAAGAAATATCTGCGAGAATATAGTGTGTGCACGCATGTGCACATTTGCGCAGAAATGTCTGGGCAGATTTAGATTCCATTGGTAGGCAGTAGGTAGATTTGAAGAACGAACACTTGGTATATTGTAGCTGCTTCACTACCCATCCTATTTCAGTTGTGCATAGAAGCCACCACATCCTAAATGACTCATACTCTCTCTCTCTTCACTTACTGATATCCTCACCTTTTTGAATACCTACAAATTGATGCTACCAGTATCAAAATAAACAACCAAAAATACTGTACCATAGAGACATAAGGGTAGAGATTGTGTAAAGTGGAGGGATAACATAAAGATGACAAGCAAAGGTGTGTGTGTGTGTGTGTATACACACTTTTGGCACAGAACCTGTTGGAATTTACAGAAATAGTGTTTGAAAAATAGTTCTTCTCACATTTATCTTTTGATGGTGGAGAAAAGAAACATTCTTTTTGTTTCTCTGATGAGAGCAGGCAGAATTTACCTTGTTCAGATGGAAAAAGGGATTGCCTAAAATGTTTACTACTTCTTATGCAATATGTGATGTCGGTGCGTACATATGTATATACATCACTGTGTATATGACGTATGTTTGTGTATGTCTGAGTGCATACGGATACATATGTATACTTATGAATATTTGTATTTATACCTGAATAGATCGGATATCTGTGTATGCATGTCAAAATTAATATACTAATAATTATGATTCTAACTTGTTCTATGTATGCTAAAATTCTATATGTTGTAAAAATATCCAGGAGAAAATTGGGCAAAATCAGTTTTGTCACAGCATAAAACCTGCTTCTGACCCTACTCCCAAAAACACAAAACAAACTCACACACACACACTCTCTCTCTCTCAGTTTTAATAATAAAAAAAAACAGTAAAATTAGTCATAGATTCTTATATCTAATTTTTCAGCCTTTTTTTTTTTGTTTCTTCATTTGCACATATATGGGCATACACACACACACACACACACACAATATTGTGTATGGAAATGGGTATTCAATTTTATATTTTTGTATAAAGCATCTAAAGCATGTCAGATCAGATGTTGGTTTCTCCTACAAAAAAGGATTCAGGTTCTAACCTTGCCAGAGGGCACATTTCTCTAAATGAGTCCCTTGAATGCACAGGCCAGTAGATATAATTCACCCTATTTAAAGGAAAAAAAAAAAATATCCCCCTCCCCACAAAAGCAAGCAAAAGAAACAAAAACAGGGTGTCTACTGAAACAGGGTGTATCCACTAAAATTACATTTGGCGTAATAAATATTTTGTATGTATGTATGTGCTATATTCAATGTGTTTCTGTGATGGGTATGTATGTATGTGCAAATGTTGACTATAATTTTTTTAAATTGGATGACTATTGAATAATTAATTACCCAAGAAAGCACTGTTAAAAAAAAAGTTAGCAATTTATAAATAAAATACTTGTCATTAAACCTGCAAGCTAACTTATCTGCCTTTTAACACCCACAACCACTGCACACATGCCTAAAGTATCACCAGAAATAATTGTGGTATTTGATAGCTGCCCTCATTTCGTTTCAAATCGTGACCAGTTTACTTATAGTGCCTTCTACTTTGTTTTCATAAATTTCATGACCTCAAGATAAGAATTGAGTTGCAAAAGGGAAATAACTCATCAAGCTTATCAAATGTAAAAACATTCTGCTGTATATTGTCAGTGGAATGACTTCAGTAGAGGTCATTCAGTTACTTAATGCTACTGACTTTTTATTTTCTTGAAGGACAAACAATGTCATCTCAGCTTATTAAGCTAGTCTTTTTCCTTTTGATGTTTATCTTAGCTTTGAGCACTCCTTTGTTTGATCATAAAGATTATTTAAATAAACATTAATAAATGTCAGTTACATGAACATAAGTTTTGGTACCTTTCATGGCCTTTTCAAATTTTTTCCTTTTTTTAAAAGTTTCTTACAGATGCTTAAAATCACAAACAAGAAGCAATATTAGCCCAGCTACATTCACTGAATACTTGTAAGAAATGAACTCCCTAGCATACTGACCATTACAATAAAGTTGGGACATATACAAAAATATTTAATGATTGCCTAATGATGAAATGTTTCCAGTTATCACTCAGAACAGAATGACCATCTTTATTATTTACATACAGACTATTTTCCTCATTTTTGTTGATGTTATCACAATGTTTTGGCCATTGTATCCTCTGGCCTTTATCAAGTGCATGGTAACATTCAGGGAATTTTAAACTGAACTGAACTCTTAATTTAATCTATAGAGATAAATTATTTGCATATCTAGAATAGTCAATTTTTAACAACAAAAATAATAAAAACAAAATGTTTTTGGACATTTGATGATAGCTTTATGCTTTTATTCTTTTCATAGTTATTGATTATTTTTTTTATCATTTAAAATATATATATATAACAATATTTCTTGAAGTGGTACATTTGATGACTAACTGTTCACTCTGACATAAAGTGTAATAAATATATATATATATATATATATATATATATATATATATATATATATATATATATATATATATATATATAATGTGGGCATAGGGGGTTCTGGATAGAGGTAGTATATTTGATGTCAGGCTGCCCTGGTAAACTGTTTCAGTTGGCAGATTAAACTCATGTGAGTGGGGTGGTGTTAACACAGCATCACTGGGCAAAGGGTTCCTCAGATGAACTACAACAGCCACATGTTTGTGTTCAAAGTGAACCACCTAGTTGGAGGACATCAGTTGTGGTCTAACCTGGAGAGGGATGGGTTCCACCAGGTTAAAACATCCAAGACATGCCACATGATGAGCACACCAAGAAACCATTTGTGGAGACTCAGGCTGTGGCACACAACCATCACAGATGGAGGAGAATTGTGGACAGTTCAGCATGTTGGCATCCGACAACTTCTTCTGGGGTTAAGGGCGAAAGAAGAGCTAGTCTGCATGTAAATAATGATAACACCTCATCCCAGAAAATCAGACAGAAAAAAGTAACAATCTGTTTTGTGAAATCACAGTCTTCATTTTCTTCTTCCCGCCGCCTTCTGATATTTCAAAATCAGCCAAATTATATTTGCTCTATTTGTAAATTAATAGTTCCAATTTGCAGATTGTTGTTTTTTTTTGTTTTTTTTAAGGCTCATGAGGCAAGCACCAGTTCTAAATCTTTGAAACCAATTTCATAAGAAAAATCTCAAATTGATGTTAAAAATTGACACAAAACATTGTTGATTTAAGATAGAATGATCTGTCTTTAATTTGTATTTATTTTCAGTTTTTTTAGTTGAATTGTTCCCCTATATTGCGTATGACCAATTATATGACCTTTATAGATTTCAATGAAACTTGTCAATTGTCTTACTGAAAGAAAATATTTAAACATTATTTTCAGATTTTTTTAATTTGTTTTTTTTTTTATATTGTGTGTATTAATAGCTAACATTTTTCCTTATTTCTGATTTCTTTTTTGCAATAGACGTGTGTAACCGGGCAGATTTACCTGAAGTTGAAATCCTTAGTCTTCTTGAAGAACAGATCCCTAAGTATAAACTTCGGGCTGATACTATCACTGATTTCCGTGGCTACGATAACGAAGACTGGATACAAACCCCCCTTATTCCCTTAGATGACGACCTTGAACTTACTACAGAACAAATTGAAGAGACATTGAAGTACTTCAGTAAGTACCATTTTTACTCATTATATTTCTGGTGATTTTTATGGTCTTAATTATAAACTTCTATATAAATTGTCTGCTTGTGAATTGATCTTATGGATATGTGTATGTAATCAAAACCTTGTCATTTTGCTTTTACCAAATGTCTGATTATAATCAAATGAAAAGTGAGAAGTTAATTCAACAAAAGACATTTCAAGGAATTCTGTCAAAATTGATAATTGTTCTTTAAAATACAGTGTGGGGCAGAAATACCTTCCACATAATGGTAAGACTAACTAATATCTTACCTTTATGTGAGGAGGTATTTCAGCTGCATCTGGTACTTGCTTGCAAAGTAAAGTTGTATGAGGTTTCAAAATAAGATCTAACTTTTTGCTCTATATTTTAATTTGATATTTTTGATTAGTTATATTCTAATTTGGCTTTTCCATACTAATTATTTATAAACTTCAGATTGATTGTTGTATCAGCTAGAATGAAAGGAACTCTAGAGAATATTTCAATCAATATTTGATGAATAAACAAGAAATGTGCTTGACTTAATATCATCCTTATACATTACTTTTAAAAGTTATTTTCATCCTTTATCTGAAAAAAAAAAAAACTCTTATGTAAAAGTTTCAAAAATTTGGCCATAGAAAATATTAATTACCCTAACAAATAATCTTTAAGGTCATTCTTTTCTTACTGTTTGCATACCAGCTCATAAAAAGTATTGCGGAAAAGCCTGAACTATATATGGTTTGTATGTTTTCTTTAAAATTGACTAAACCTTTGGCCAGCAACTTCTATTTTATAAATATCAAATAAGATTCATAAAAACAATTTTTTTCATACATTTTTGCACATAATAAAACCTTTTTTTTTCTTTGATTTGCAAATCCTACTTGAGTGGTCTACCTTCTTTTCTTTCAAAGTAAATGAAAGTTATTTAAGAATTATCTGCCCTTAAAAACAAAATGGTGAAACAAAATGAACCATTTTGTTTTATTTCATTGTATATATGTCAGAATTAAATAGCATAGCAAACATTTTTAGCACCCTGTTTCAAATCTTTTTTATAAGAAAGAAAACAAAAAAATTATACTTCTGTACCAACTGCAATGTTTCAAGTTTGTTATTGGATGTGAAATTCAATTTAAAATGAACCTTCTACAAAGAAATAATCTCATAAATTTCAAAGTATTTAAAAATTGTTTGAAAATGACATGTGTAGAGATTTTTCACCAAATTTATAAACTAAAAATGTAGATATTTATTATATCTGTCTCTGAGAATAGCACTAAAAATGAGGTTTAAATATTGTGGTTTGCAAGTTATGAGATGTTTCTATTGACAGTTGTTTTCATAAGTTTTCATTAGTTACTATTTTAGTTAGAAGCTCATTTGGTGATCTGACACTATTAATTTTCATTTGAAGTCTGGCTGATTATAATAGCAATAAACATAAAACAGAATAATTGTTGTTCAGCATTATTTTATCATTATAACCTACCATATAATTGTGTGTTAAGTCTCCCAAAGTAATTTGATTCATTTTAGTGTCTTAAAATTTGTACAAAACATTTTACATGCTTGTATTTTTAATTTTCACTTTTCTTGAGTGGCAACTTTTTAGTAATAATCATAATGATGCATATGTAAAACAAAGTGTAAAAGTGGCATTTGTTTTGTTTTGTTTGTTCGTTTGTTCGGAAATAAAAGTTAACTTCTTTTATAAAATAATCAACTCGGAAATAACAATTATGAGTTCCTATGAAAAAAAGATTTTCTTTTTTATTTTAATGACCCTTCTTTAATTTGCAAAGAAAAAATATTAGAATTTGACAACTGATTTGTTTGGAAAATATTCAGCATTTTATTTCACAAAGATTTGAAAGCCTAAAAAATGGTAATACAGGAAATAATGGTGTCTCTAAAATTAACCTTTTGATAAAACAAATTTAAAAAAAAAATACCTCCTGGTTTATATAACACAAAGATTTTTTTTTGTATATTTGCTAATCCCTCTTCTTTAAAATTCTCTAATTTTGCTGATAGATTATATTTAATTATTTTAAAATAGTTATTTAATATGGAGTCATGTATTTTTTTGACAATTTTATATCCATTACTCTGATGTGTTTAACTTTAGTGAATTGTTAGCCAATATAAATTATCATCATCTTTTGCTTTCTGTTCAATACAATCTCTGACAGGATCATTTCTGAATACCTATGGTAAAGCAAGGGAGTTAATATATTCATTCTGTTTGCACAATTTCTGATGTTAGGTGATATTTAACATGTACATTGTTTATATTTTTTACATGAATAGTTCCCTCCTGAATAGACGAACAGTTCCATACAGTGCAATGTTTTGAATCACTTGTAAGCAGTGTGTTACTAAGGATCTTATTATTGTTTTGTTGAGCAACAATGGGTTTTTTTTTTTTATATGGGGGGGTAGTTTTTTGTATATGTGTGTCAGTACTTATTTTTTATAATTGCCATTGTTTTAATGATCTTTATTGTAACTGTTTTTTTTTTTGTTTTTTTTTTATAAAGCTAACAGATGCTGATCCTCTTTCTAAGGATGATAGTTGTGCTAGTAAGGAGTATTCAACTGTGATTTAGTTTCCACTCGTTTCTTTATAAAAAGAGAACTCTTGCTTCATAGTTTAATAAATTCCAATCATTATCAATATGCCTCATATTACTTGATAACCACAGTTTCACCAGTTTTGTCATCCCCTTTTTGTCTTGTTCAATATAGCTTTTGTTTTTTCTCAAAGAAATCTTTGTATTTTATTTTTTACTATTGCTAAAATGGTATTAATTTTGAATAAAAATATAAATTTTGTTGCAACTTAACCTTAAACACTCTTTAGGTAACTTCAGTCATCAAGGAAAGCATTTATCCTGCTATTGCAATTGACACCTATCACCAAATAACAGTATATTTAAATTTCACGATTATGTTGTCACATCCTGTTATAGCAGCATCAAAAAAACAGCCTTGACTTAAATCGAGATCAGGGCTATTGCAGTTTGTATTTGAGCAGCCACCATATATATTGGAAAGAGAAGTAATACTTATAAAATAATGTAGTGCTTAAGGTTAAATTTTCTAAAGGAAATATATAAACAGATACTAAATTGAAAAATGAGCTATAGTTTGTTCATAATCAGTGAATTAATATGACTAATTGAAAATACTGACAGTATATTTTATTTTGCATGCTTTATGGGTATTAAAATTATTAGTTGCTTCCAAACTTAGATGTACAGTTGTGTGAATAATGTAAAACCTAATTGTAAGAACTTGGATCAACTTTGATCTTAAAAAATTTAAATGCAATGTCAATCATTATCTTCTATTTTCTTAATTCCTGTTCTTTTATTGTTCTCTCATAATAATAGTATGTTTTCTCATATTCTTCAATATTTGGTAATAATCCCTTGCATCTTAGTGGCTTTATTGCTTTGTTTGGGGTGAAATGACTAAAAAAATGTCAGTATTATTTAAGTAAATTAAGATTTGTTGATTTATTAATGGCAATATAACCTGGTAAAAATTATTTTATGAAGAGTGAGGGAGTCAGTTAATATTTTAAAATTCTAATTTGATTTTCTTTTCTCTTTTTTTCCCCAACATAACATTTTCATTAGTATTTTATGCTAATACTGACGACACCATTCTAATGTCACCATAAATAATGAGATTGGCTTTAAGTTCTATAATCTTGTGTTGATTTTGATGATATTTAGATACATTCTCACTCTTCTTGTTACTCTAAATTTGTACATATACACAAACACACACAAATTTAGAATTTAGTTAACATCCACAATTAACATGTTTTTTTGCTTAGTTTTTTTTTTTTTTTTTTTTTTGTAATGTATTTAAAATAAATAATCTGATATTTGTCTATATTTCTGAAATGAGGTATTGTAATTATTTACACTATTTACATTGTTCAGACATAATACGGAATGATAGAGAAAAGCAATAATAACAACAAAAAAAAAGAGCTCTGGTAAAAAAATGGTTACTGAGACATTATGTCTATACGTTCCAAAAATTCATACACTGATGTCCTCAAGGACACATGGCTCAGTAGATAAAAGCATTGGTTGGATCCAATGACTTGATCCAAAGAGTTCAATGCCTAGAGTGGTGAACAAAAACTTAGAGAGTTAAAATTAACAATCTAGCCCATGTTCAGCTTGAGATTCCAATTACCTGAAGAAAGCCAGAGCATATAACAGCTGAAATGTTGTGAATATGACAACAAAGATGAGGACAATAGTCCATACAATGTAAATAGTGTAAATAATCTGATATCTGTCAATCGTCAAGTGAAACAGTATTTCTGTAAAACTTAGTCAGAAGACATTTTCACTTTATCTATGTTTTTCTAATGAAATAATGGAATTTTATTTATAAAGCCAACATAATTTTTTTATCACAAAACATTATTTTTAGGGGATACCCTTATTTGAGTAGAAACTACGTTTATTTGTCTTAAAAAATATTTTATTTTATTTTCATCTATGGACCTGAATATTCGGGAAATCTTATTAAAGAAAAGTGTGTGTGTGTGTATATATATATATATATATAATGTATGATCAACTCTCCCATCGTATTCAATGTATGAGGGTCAAGCCGCTCAGTTCCTAGGAACTGACATCCCGACACCAGCGCATATGATTTGATTATAGTGGTGAAGGTTTTGTGCCAAACTATCCACCCCTTTTTGTAGGGTTGAATACAAAGACCTGGTGCACTATGTGCCACAAACGACCCTCCACAGATTTTGAATTCAGACACTAGTTGCCATCTAAGGCTACAGAACTCAGTCTGACCTGCTATTTACCCATAGCTGAAGGGAGAAGAAGAGGATTCGACCTTTCCCAAAGGTATTAGCATGTAAGTGAATGTAATGGATTTGACTCAAACTCTACTCTCTGATTACTCAATCCAGACTGCTATCCATTACTCCACCGTGCCTCATA